GTCTAACGTTAGCGAACATCACCCACTAACACCCCAGTGCGATCCCCTGTAAGATGCTGTAATATGATGCAGAGCCTCACCTAAACTCCGGATTAGTACATGATTAGTACATCCGGCAACCTTAGAGAGGCGCCGTGGCCGCCATCGGGTACCTAGGTACTGTACCATCCAATTATTCTCATTGGACGCTGGTCTTCTCCCATCACCGACCATCACCGCCGAACACTTTCACATCAATAATCATCCAAGCTGTCAACTCGTACCCGCTATTATACTATCTATTCTACGGCGGTTATCTGAAAGATTGTCACATCTAAATAAATGCTTGGAATAGACTAAAGATGACACTAGACGAAATCGAAGGACTCCTTCAGAACGCCCCTGAAGATGAGGAATCGAGGACTGAGACGCTGAGACAGATCCTTGGTGCCGCTCAAGAATCCGATTCACCGGAGCTCGAGTCCCTAGCAGAAAAGGTCGGAAACGCAAGTCGAGAAGGTAAAGTTCTACGAGTTTCGGCTGAATAGGGTCAGGGAGAGCTCTGTATCAGGCTCGTTGCGTGCAAGGGGATGCCACTAACCTCCCGCTCTCTTAGAATCATGGAGAATGCCACTTGGGAAATCAGGTCTTCTCGACTTCTTTCTCAATCTGATCAAAAGGGATGAGCTAGATTCGGACCTCACCGTCCATACCCTCAGAGTCATAGGGAACTCTTGCGCAGACCAAGGTCCGCATCCTAGCGCTGTTCATATCCTACGTGCTTACACGACATAGATGAGAACCGGCAACGAGTTGTTGACTCGGGCTCCATGCCACGGATCGTTACGATGCTTGGACGTGATTTCGTATTGAAATTCGCTATCCCAGTTCTCTTCAACATCTGCGTTGATTATGGTGGGCATGAGCAATCCATCTCGGAACCGGTCACTCTCTAACACGCATCTTCTAGAGCCCGCTCAGGTAGCGGCATATAAAGCCCGCCTTGCTATTTACTTGGTAAACCTCCTTATGGATCCCCGGCTACAAGAGCAGGCGTCAGTGTACATGAACATCGTCTACAAGTTACTAGGTCTTGTAGCAACTCAAGGTAGATAAACCCCTACTTCGGCCTAGGCCCCCATCACGGTTAAGTAAACTAGACCTAACAGGCGTCAAAAGAGTTCGAGCCTGGCCTAGTAGTTCCCCAAACGCCATTCTGCCTCCTAAGTCTAGCGAACCAAGAGGCATCCAATCCCGATTCGGCAGATCTCGAGACTTTCTTGGGCCTATCCACTGCGGCGTTGGCGTACCTCTCTTATCAGCAGCTCCAGGAGAGCTTCCTCGAGACTCCAGATGCCATCAATGTGTTCTTAGAGACCTTCAGAAGAGCTACCGAAGGCTCCCTCATCTCCCAGGTCGATGAGGAGGAGGAACAGGCGCTACTCAAACAACTCCCATCAACGTTCACACAGACATTGGCAGATCTGTCTGCCAACCCCCGATTCGTCTCTCTATGTCCGCTTGACGGTAAGTTAGCCAGTTTGCTGCTCGACTGGATCTCGTCGCCACATCACGCATCACTTCAAACCGCAGCTTGTTTGGCCCTAGGCAACCTCGCCCGCTCCGACGCGTCGAGCATTAACCTGGTACAGAAGATGTCAGTACACAGGTCGTTAATCACCATCCTATCCAACAGCTCTCCGGCTACGGATGCCCAGCTGCTGCATTCCACCCTCAGCTTTCTCAAGAACCTGGCCATCCCCGCGAGTAATAAGGCCGTTCAAGGCGACGCGAGGATCCTGGACTCGAACATATTGCCTCGTATCTGGAATCTCGATACCCAGCCGCAGATCCAATTTGACGCCGTGTCCCTCGCGCGCCTCCTCCTTGTCAACTGCCCAGAGAATGTACGTCGCGTCTGCGTGCCCTTGACTGCACAGGACCCGGCGCCACTAGACCAGCTGATGGACCTGCACCGCAAAGCAGACCAAGAGCCCATAAAGATGGAGACCGCTCGAAGTGTGGCCAACGTTTGCCGCGTGTTGCACTCTAGCAGCCCAATAGGGTCTTCACTCGTCCCCGAATCCTCGACGTCGCTATCCTCAGAGGAAGAATCTCCATCGCTCCTCCAGGATTTCTACGACAAACACCCCACACTATCGGATACATTGCTATACCTCGGCCTGCAAAGCAAATTCCCCGTCTTGCGGTCCGAGCTATGGTTCGTGCTCGCGCTTATGGCACGCTCTGCCGAGGGATCCGCCGTCGTAACACGCGCGATACAGCAGCACCCTCTAATAACAGACGTCCTCGTCGAGGCTATCACAGGCGAGAAGGTACCCGAGCAAAGTGCGGACAGCGCTCCACCGGAGGCGCCTGGCTTGGACATATCAACGATCGGCGGACTGGGCCAGCTCGAGCCGCAGCAGGTAGATCCGACCAAAGCAGCGACGATGACGAAGGTGGACCGGGAGAACGGGCTGGTGTTGATTGCCGAGCTGCTGAAGCGGTGTCCAGATGAGCTTTCCCCTACTGCTAGGAATATGTTCGTCCAGATACTAAAGGCGGGCGGGGAGCTGGTACTCGGCGACAGAAATGAGGAATGAGGAATCGTAGGGAAGACCGACTATACAGCCACTCAACGAGCCTCTGTTAGGTTAGGAGGTTATAGGCGAGCGGCTAATTCTGGACTGCCCTGGGTGTTCTAGGTATAAGTTCATGGCAGATGCGGTCGTTTATACACGAGGCTGCCCTATCAATCATTAGTAGAAGATAGGTTTATCGATGCCTATATCAAAGCCAATGCCAGTGTCATTTCCCTGCTCTCGATGTCGATTTGTGATTTCACGCATGTCACGATGCCTCAAGACGCAAGAGCATGTCCATTCATGTTCCATTGAGAACGACCTAGAGAGCAAACCGGAAGATGCAATAATGCTTCGGCCCTTTTGTGCGGTCGAGAGATCGACTATAAATCTGATTCTCTCCTGGCTGCACAGAAACCGCAAGCCGACCCACCCGTGAGACCGACGAACAACGCAACGAAAGCAGAACCCCTAAGAATGCCGTCCATACTCCCGTGCAGACCCGATTGGGATTCAGCGCTCCATCTATTTCTTGTTGGCCTCCGCCTCCGCCTTGTCCCTAGCTCGCTTCTCCCGTGAGCCCTGCAGTCTCGCGTCGCTTCTCGCCTTGCGGAGCTTGGCGTAGGCGCCGCCCTCGATGGGCTTGGGCATCTCGCCCTTCTTGATCTCTGTGACGGCTTCGCCGAAGGGAACGATGGGAAGGGCGGATCCGACGACGGAAACGGTCTCGGTCTTGCTGAGGTCAATGTCCTTGCTGTCGCCGGCCTTGGGATGCTTGGCGCCCTTGCGAGGGAAGACAATCAATCGGGCCTTGTAAGCCTTGAGGCGGGCTACGTTGGCGGCGAGAGACTCCTCGCTGAGGTTCTGACGGCGGTGATCGACAGCGATACCGATAGTAGGGGCAACGAGGCGGGCAATGCCAGCTTCCTGTTGATGTATTAGAAAAAGCTTCTTTGATCCCATTCCAAGACCCGGGGGTGTCTATCGTTGTACCTTCAGCTCAGTCAGGGTGAAACCACGTCCGGCACGAACGCGGCGGTTGTACTTGATGGTCGGGCATCGGACGACGGGTCTCAGCTTATCGACAGGTCGGGGGGCGACAGCAGCGGCCTTGGCTTGACGAAGAGAACGACGGCGGATCTTCTTGGTAGGCTATATTTCCCATCTCGAGTCAGAACAGATTGACTTCCACCCATGATCACTCTTGGGAAAGGGTTCAATGTGATTCCTACCTGGTCGAAGTGGGTTCGCACCCGACGCTGCCAATCCTTTCGGAAGTCTGCATATATTCGGTTAGTATGACTGGCTTTTTGTGTGGAGGTGTAGTGGTCGCTGGGTTCATCGCGTGGGAATGGCTTCGGATTTCACATACGGTTGTGCTGGATCTGGTTGTTGTGTTTGATCGCCTGGGAAGAATGGACATGTCAGCGGTGGGGTCATTCATGGAAAAAATAATAACATTGCTGCTATGAGGGATCAATACTCACCATTGTGACTGATTGCGATCAAGGGTTGGTTGTGGAAAGGATGGTGGTCTATCGCAAGTCGTCTCTCAAATCTCCAAATTGGAGGTTCGAGAATTTCCTTGAGGTAAGAACTTAGTTAGACCAACCCGCACTTTCGGCAAAGTTTTTGGGAGGGCTTGAAAACCCTACAATTTTGATGTGGCGGTGCCGTTTATGTTTGTGTCTGCAGGTGGGGATGTGTTTGTGGGGCTGAAGCATAGAAGGCCGCCAACCTTACCTAATGTCCCATGTGGTCTGTGCGTGCAATGTGCCATGTAAATAAACCATGAAATACATCTTTCTCCTACTTGTAACATGAAGACCATCACTAACATATCAACTGCCTATCCATTAGAAAGATACTTCGAGGCTTGATATTAAATACATGGCTAGAACATAGAGTTCCATCATAGACCAATAAGTCATCATATTAGGAATATCAACATTTGAACAATATAGTGAAGCAAATGACTCTAATAAACTACTAGAGATTTATATGACTACTGGCTTTTCAAATCCCGGTAAAGGGATGAGATATCTGTATAGCCTTGTAGCCTTCTCTCACTCATTGAGATATGTCTCCTATGCCCTGGCATCAATTTGAAATCTGCTAATACGTATCACTAAACAGCTTATGCATTTGATACCCGTCTCTAGGTATCAATCTAGAGTATTCAGTTCGATATTTATAGTGCCAAGGCCTAAGATAGCTCTGCTGTAATTAAATTTAGGATAGAGTCATACTCGGTACAATTGATGGTATCTGTAGGTAATACCAGCTAGACACTGAGGGCGTCACGTGATTATTGGGCGGAGAACTCCGGCGACCACAAAGCCTAGCGATATAGTACAAAGTAACGACCGCCCAGTCATCCAATGGATTGGCCTGTTCCTTCGGGTTATTACCGGAGGCTGACTTGTCTCCTAACTCGCCTTGGTAGCTCAATTGGCTAGAGCGTGGGACTTTTACAACCGCTGACATCGGTTCGGTGTTATCCCAAGGTTGCGGGTTCGACCCCCGCCTGAGGCGTTCAAACTGTCCATTTTTGTCATTTTTAAGAAGTCTTGGAGTCCTTGTTATCTTTCGGCATCGTGACAACATTTTGGAGTTCATCTACGAAAATTCTGTAACGCCTGTCACGTGCGAATAGGCATTGCGGAACTGCGTGGTCTGTGCACACTGGCTGGCAATCTTATTCTATTTTAAGAGTTGCGTACCATGGACCTGGATACATTATGTACCTAGGTACATACCTAAATGTCCCGATGCGTATAAGTACCTAGATAAGGGTATCTTGGTACCTACCGTTTCCACCTCGAATACTCAGTATATGGGACTCCCGAGGTTCAAGACCTTCACCCCATACCACCAACCGTTCGGATGCATCATTGCTATAATTTACAAATCAGCCATCTCCGTCATGGCTTGCAGAACCATTCCCTTCCGCCGGCTGCTTACCATGGTCTCTCGCATGGAAGCTTCGGATATGCGTGTTGTCTCGAACAAAGCTCGGTTCCGTACTAAGAGATGTCTACACGGAACAGCTACCCGCCGTACTGACGGTGTATTTCACGGCCTCGCAGATAACCGCCTGCCTATGCCGTGGATAGAAGCCTGGAGGCTCCAGCAAGAAGGCAAGAATGTAGCCTCCGACGAGGCGCGGTTGCAGGAACGCGATCTTACCCCGAAGAAGATGAGCGACAGCTATCACCGCGTCGTGCTTCCGCTTGGCCGTGATCCCTGGCTCAGTGATACGTACATCAATTCTTCTGGTCACATAAGGTCCTCGGCCCATACCTCCGATCTGCTGCTGTGTTAGACTCTAACTAGATAGCTATTCTCTAGGTTGGGTACGGTATTCATGGACCTCGATGCCTTGTCAGGTATCATCGTCTATAAACACACTGGCCCCGGCGTCACAACCGTCACCGCTGCGCTTGACCGTATCACTATTGCCCACCCGCTCACCGAGATATGCGATCTCGAGTATAGTGGACAGGTGACGTACGCGTCCGGGAGGAGCAGTGTAGAGATTACATGCAAGGTTGCCAGAGCCAGGGACGAAGGTGAGCCGAGCAAGCCTGAGGATGTGTTGCTCACGTGCACTTTCACTATGGTGGCCTTGGATCCTACTACCAAGAAACCCGTTAATATACCGCGTCTGGTCTATTCGACCTCAGAGGAGGAGAAGATCTTCAAGGCCGGAGAGGCTAAGGCTCTGGCCAAGAAAAAGAACATCAAAACCTCGCTGCTCGAAACAGAACCGAACGACCCCGAGTCGGCCCTGATCCACAAGATCTGGCTAAGACAACTGGCCTACCATGACCCTAACAATAGCATTCGGCAGCCGACAAATGTGATTTCCATGTCTCGGACCCAGCTCTCGACTGCTTCCATCATGCAGCCGCAGTACCGGAATCGGCACCAGACCATGATCTTCGGCGGCTTCCACCTAAAGCAGACTTTCGAGTTGGCCTTCTGCTGCGCCGCCAGTTTTGCGCACGCACGGCCGACCTTCATCAGCGCCGATCCCTGCACTTTCCGAAACCCCGTTCCCGTTGGCAGTGTGCTTTACTTGACCGCGACAGTCGTCTATACTGACCCGCCGCTGTTAGACGAGGATGGTAGCGAGCCGGCGCAGAAGGACACCAAGAATCCAGTGACGCGGCTTCATATCAGAGTGGACAGCAAGGTTAGAGATGTTGAGCATGGGTATGCTAAACCGACGGGCCAATTCAACTATACCTTCGCGGTGCCAAAGGATGTCAAAGTTCTTCCACGTATGTGTATCTCAAGGCTGTCTGCTATCACCAGCCGCCATCGCTCCCCAAACAAACCCCCCGCCCCCGTGAGCATTTCAGGGAGACTAGGAACCTCTAGGCTTGGTTGACATCTCATCGACTTGGAAGACCTTCAGCAGTTGAATGGCTAACGTCAAACTGCGCAGATACTTACCAAGAGTATATGATGTACATCGACGCGAGGAGGAGGGTGCGGCTTGGAGATGTACAGGATCGTCAAGATCACACGGGCTCGGAACTGCAGCGGCTACAATCAGTTGAAAACGTCAACCTGACAGAGTGATGTCGGGTATGATCTGCAGAATCCGTTACCACGTAGGACTATGGTTCGATTCGTTCTAACAAAGCTATTATGGACACTGACTTACCCGAATACTCAACCCTACAGAGATAGACGGTAGAGGACCGAGTCTGAGAGGATTGAGACGCGGTGATGATAGAGGCTAGTCACCAGAAAAGGCAACGAAGTAGGCTTATATACAGGTCTCAACAACCTTAACATACCCGGCAAAGCGTCAACTCGACAGCAATACTTCCTATCCGTCAATTCGACTAACTAGTAAAACGCATTCTTGCCATTGACTTCCCGTACCGACTCATAAAATCATGGGTAAACTGACCAACGAACATGTCCTGATACCCTATTTTCGGAGTGTAGCCTTATTTTGCTTCTCAACCAGTCCAACTTCATATCATCCTTCTTTTTTACGGGCGTCTGAGCGTATATGACCCGTTAACGAAGTCACGGCGTGTTTGTCTACACCTTGAGGAGTTACATATCGCGCTGTTATATCTACAGGAGTAGAGGGCCTTCTGCACCTCGATATATTGATACATGATGCTCCACATATGTGCGTGTGTATCGTACAGCCGCCGACTATATCCCACCCCTGAGACGGGACACCTCCTTGTTCTTCCTGGCAAAACCGTGGCCCTTCAGTGGCAGATCCCTCTTCTTCAGCTCCTCCTCGATAAGTTTAAATCTTCCGAGCGCCTTCTCCTTGTCGCCGCGCGTAACGCGCTTCTCTGCGACAGAGACGTTCGGCAGCTGAACGAGATCCTGTCGACGTTCCTGTATTTCTTGGGTTAGGGTCTTGGGCTTGGGTGGTTTCTGCACTACGTGAAGCAAAGACCGGACATCAGTGATACTGGATAGCTGGTGGTCGGGCACTAGTTGGCCGGTGAGTTGAAGAATGCGCTTTGTGACCTAATAATGTCTTAGTCCAAAGTACTTTAGATAATACACCTCTAGTATGGCATAACTGACCGCAAACTTGATTCGGGAGTCTGACAGAGAGGCTTTCTTCCAGCCATGACCCCAGGTGTCTTTGTATGTCTGAGCTTCCTCGGTTGAGAGCACTGACTCGCACGTGGTCGCCAATACCAATTCCCCACCCGTAGTCTCGTCGGGTATGGTGACCTCGTCTTTTTCATTTAGAGAATCGAGAATAGCAGAAATATCGCCAGTCAGCGAGACGGCTCCGGTCTCCGTGACATTAACATCCACTTCCATGAGGCGACGGAGCTCTTCCTCTCCTCCTACTGCCCAGGCGCCCACTAAATCGTCTTCTCGGGCCGCTTGCCTCAGTGCAAACGCCTCTACGACGGCTCGCCGTACTGACGCCTCTATGATGGCTGGATCAAGCACCTTTTTTTGTGGCCTGAAGCCGGCGAAATCAGCCGACCAATGTGTCCGTTGATTCCACCAATTTCCTAGGTCACCGACCGTCTCCAAGCCTTCCGCCGTCAAAGCGGGGATGTATTCGGGATCCGAGACTTCATCAGACCGCTCGGCATAGCTGCGCTGTGGCGGCGGGACGTATGTCTGTTTTTGAAACGAGTAGCACCGTGTAGGCGCAGGAGAGTGGAAAGCCGTTGCCGCCGGTCTGTGGTGGGAGGCCGAGATGGTCTGGGAAGATGCGGACGGACATTGACCTACTAGAGGGGAAATTGCAGAGCACGAAGTAGGGATAGATAGGCTGGACGGCCGTCTTAATCGTGGTATCCGTCGCATTGTGACGAATTGCTGGCTCTCCGAGTTCGGTTGGTACTGAAAAGAGACTTGAACTTAGGTATTTAGTCGAAAGAGTTCGCGACAGCAGCTGCAAAATTGAATTGACCGTGTACAAGCTTCAGCCACAGACCCATAGACCCACAATATTGGGCTAGCACGTACCTTATCATCTTATCAGCATGCGCCTATCCTGGCCCTCGTCATCTCGTCATCCCCCATCCGACCGAAGCTTCAATTGTTGATTTCAGTTCTTACACCATTTGATCCGTTGCGATTGGCATTCTCCTACCGGCTATGTATAGGCGAATTCCTTCGCTGCAATATATATATATATGTAGTGGGATATATGGCCATTTTATGACGGCGACACGATGCGACTTCATCTCTCTCTACTCTTCATAGGGGTCCTCGTCTCCTATGTCGTTGCAGCCTGTAAGCGAACCCGCCTCTATACACTCTACTTCTATTCAGAAGCTGACCTATCTATCTTCCGTACGTAGCCGCGCCGACCTTCTGTAAATGTACTTGTTTCAAGAACAGCACCTTGATCCAGCTTGGTCCGCAAGGCGACTCCTCTCCCTCCTTCAGCAACTCGCTACGTTCGCTGCCCCTCGAAGACCGCGCCGCTTCCACCTCTTGTACCCAATGCACGCGAGCCTTCTGCCTGTCGCAACACCTCCCCATCTGCAAGGATGCCGAGGAGAACGACGTTGTGACCATGTGCTTCCAACGCGATAGCCGCAAGGATCAGATCATCGTCTGGGGTTTCATTCTGGGCACCACCGGTCTGCTGGGTTGGGCCGCCGCCAAGAGAGTCATCGAGATGCGCGAGGGCAAGAAGGCTGCCGCGCTAGGATTAGGCGGCTCCGGCATAGGGAGTAGAGGAGCAGCAGCGGGAGAGGCCACCCAGGATCGGGGTGTATATATGCCAGTCAGCAATGATAATACCCAGGGGCTACGCCGATGAGAAATGCGTAATCGAAATCTACGGATGGGTTGGCCTAGGAATCTGGGCTTCGGGATTGCGAATGGCGTTTAGGACTTTTCGGCTTTCATATCTATTCCCTGGCTTTTATTTCCATCTCGGAACATAGGCGTAATTAGACGGATATACATCCATTCAAAGTGACATGTGCCACCCATCATTCATAAACTAGGTACCATTTCTCAAAGGCTCCAAGCCAATCTACGTGTTGAAAAGTAAGAAGCCGTAT